TAATAATAATAATAATAATATGCAAATGAGCGATACCCACTGCCATTGCTCACCATCCGCCAAATGCCCATGGAGCTGATCCATGTCAATATTCCTCACCCCTTCCTTTGGTCTTCCACTTGTAGACTGGCAAAATACAAAGTCCTTCAACTTCCAGCAACAACCAAAAACACGGGGATGTTCTCAGCGTTTCTCTCCTAACAAATCCCAGCTGAACCCAAACCCCAGCGCTGTTCCAGCTGCTGAACAGACCCAGCTCTGGCCCAGCTCACACCAGGACACATGGCCCATGTCTTGGGGTCAATATAAGCTGCCTGTCAGGGTCAGGCAGCTGCTGCCTCTCTGTAGCAGGGGTGAGGTACCTGCATGGCATCTGTCCCAGCTTGTTCTGCTCCTCTGGGCTCGGAGGCTTGCTCTGGCTCCCAGCCCTCACGACAGTGATGCAGTTGTAGCTTGCTGTGCTGTGCTCCCTTTTCCTCCCTCTGCACTGACCTCCTCCACCCCTCCAGCAGCCTGGGTTTCCTGTGTGGTACTGGGATAACTGGAGCGAGAGGCTGGGTGGTTGCCCCATGAGGGTCTGTGTTGGCCATGAGGTGCCATGCTGCTGCCTGCTCTGAAAGCCCTTCACCCCACAGGGCCTGGCCTGGCATTCATCGCCTACCCTCGGGCTGTGGTCATGCTGCCCTTCTCCCCGCTCTGGGCTTGCTTCTTCTTCCTGATGGTTGTTTTGCTGGGACTGGACAGCCAGGTAAAGACACAGGTGCAGGGTGTTTCCCAGCCAGGTAAAAGCCACCGTCCCTTTGGGAACAGGCTTGAATTTGGCTGAGGTGGGGGGACAGCAGGGCTGGGGACCTGGTCAGGATGGGCTAAAGGTGGTGGGATCTCTACTCTTTGCAGTTTGTCTGTGTGGAGAGCCTTGTCACCGCTCTTGTAGACATGTACCCCACCATCTTCCGCAAGAAGAACCGCCGGGAGACCCTCATCCTGCTGGTCGCCATCCTCTCCTATCTGGTCGGGTTGGTGATGCTCACAGAGGTATTTTGGGCTCAGGTCACCACAAGCACAGTTCTTGCTGGGTCTGAGTTACCCCCCTGACAGAGGGAGACCTGGTGGATGGTGGTGGGGTCTGTACTGAGGCCTGGAGCTTGCTGGTGAGCTCCATCCTTGAGCATAAGGATGGACGTGGCCTTTGCTGTTGCTCTGCCCCAGAGAGACAAAGGTGCCTCCAGCTCTGGGGAAGACGTTGAGTTTGTTTCCTGCTCTGGCTGGAGCTCTTTGCCTGTGCCTGATCCTCTCCCCTCTCTCCCTCCCCACCTCACCTCGCTGCCCGCTTGGCCCATCCCAGGGTGGGATGTACGTCTTCCAGCTCTTTGATTACTATGCTGCCAGCGGCATGTGCCTGCTCTTTGTGGCCATCTTCGAGACTCTCTGCATCGCCTGGGTCTATGGTGAGTATGAACCCAGGGAGGATCCCCAGCTCTGGTCTCTCAGGTTCTCACTTGGTCTATCCTAAAAATTGCTGGTCCATAGCTTCTCCTGGCAATTGCTTTGCAGTGCAAGGCAGATCTTTAAACCCTTGCTTTGGTGCCCATGGACTCAGCTGACTAAGGAGATCTGGGGCACCTGCTTGGCAGATATCCCCAATGTGTTCCTGTGTGCTCCTGCTTTTGAGGCCCCCCCCTGCTTCTTGGGCACTTGGAGCTAGCTGGGAAATCTTTTCCCAACCTGTGTATAGAGGAATCTGAGACCCTCTAAACATTTTTTGAGAGCCCTCTCTCAGCTTTTATGTTCACGAGGGCTGGGTAACACCTGGGTTTAGATCCTAACCTGAGAGATACCAGCTGAAGGGCTGGCTCTGCTGACCCACCAGACTGTTCTGAGGGCCACGAGGATGTTAGTCCAGGACAAAGGCTGAAGCTGCCCAGACTCCTGGTGAGCTCCTGCACTGGGGTGTTGGCTATGCTGAAGTTACTGCCTCCTCCTCTTCTGGGGAGCACCCAAAGAGTGGTGATGCAGAGTCCTCCCCATGCAGACCCTGCTGCCCTCCTTCCCTGGTAGCAACAAGTCATCCTTCCCTTCTTCTGCAGGTGCTGAGCGTTTCTATGATAACATTGAAGATATGATCGGCTACCGGCCGTGGCCCATCATCAAATACTGCTGGCTCTTCATCACCCCGGCAGTTTGCATGGTGAGGGGCCACAGGAAGAGGAGGAGCTGTGGGGATGGAGCTGGGTGCCTCTGAGATAGAGATACCTACCTAGATACAGAGGGCTGTGCGTAGGGGGTTGGTGTGACCTGGACTTTGGGAGCATGTTCTTCTGTGTGTGTTTGTGGCTTTGGGGGCCAAGCGTGGGGCTAAACAATGGGGAGAGGGGCCTGGCTGAGCAGTGGTGGAGGTGTCTGCTGGTGGGGTGAGCTCTTTGCTGCTGTGCCCAGTGCTGCACAGCAAAGCTTGCTTGACTGGTGTCTCCTCTGTTGCTGTCCTGGGGAGCTCTGTGTTACCACGAGACTCTCTGCAGGTGCGGACTCATCAGGAAAGCGTCTCTTGGATAATGGTGTTGATTTTCTTGCTCTTTTTCTCTTGCTTTCTTCCACCTTGCCAGGCAACCTTCCTGTTTTCTCTGGTCAAATACACCCCGCTGACCTACAACAAGAAGTACGTGTACCCGTGGTGGGGAGACACCCTGGGCTGGCTGCTGGCCCTCTCCTCCATGGTGTGCATCCCTCTCTGGGTCGTCTACAAACTCTCCACCATCAAAGGTTCCCTCAGAGAGGTGAGGCTGGTGCTCTGGGATGAGGATATGGGCTGTGCTTCTCTGTTGAAGTCCAGCCTTGTAGGGGGATCGTTTGTGTGTTGTGGGGATCCCAGAATAAATCGATTGAACGAGTCCATTGCTATAACTGACTGTTGGTTTTAGTAAGTTCTGCCTGTCTGGAGAGCTGCTCCAAGTTGACTATTGCCTCTTGGTGGCCTTTGTTTATTGCTTCTGTCTCTTTACAAGCAGCATTAGGAAAAAGTTCATTAGATGGAGAGAATAAAGATGTTCTCCAGTGCCTTGAGTCAGTTTGGAAGCTGCCCTTGAGTGAGGCTTGGGGACTTGCTCTGAGAAAACTCCAGATCCCATGGGCATTGCAGGCAGCTGAGTCTCAATGACCTGGACCTGCCCAGCTCCTGGAGCTGCTGTGACCCATTGCTGGCTGCCCTGAATGTGACTTGGGAGAACCAGGGACCTGGTAAACTGGACCTTACTCCAGATAGGCATCCCACAGAATCACAGACTGGTGGGGTTGGAAGGGACCTCAGGAGATCATCCAGTCCAACCCCCCTGCCAAAGCAGGTTC